CTCGAAGGAGAACTCGTGTATGTTATTACTATTTCGACCCCCCTTCGTGCTGTCTAAACGGGCCGCACGATCGATTCGCTGGGCCATCACGGGGGCCAGATCAGGCGGTACGGTGGGCGTTATTCGAGTTGCCGAGCCAGCCACCTGCCTCCAATCCCGCGCCCAGTCGTCTTGAGTCTGTATAGCGGGGTGGGGGAAAGAGAGAGATTGTGAGAGATGTCGCAAAAGTCTACTATCCCTTAAAACTTACTCACGCGACAGTCATCGCGTTAGCCTTCAGCTTGCTGAAGTCTATGTAACAGATGGTGTGAGCCCTGACCTGCCTCATAGGGAGATCTTATCTATTTGTCTAAGTGGTTTTTGTTTCTCTGAAATTGTCCTTTTCTTGATGGTTGTTTTACGCTCACCCGTGACATAAATGTTTTTTGGGATTCTGCGGGAAAAACGGTGACTTCTCCTCCATATAAGCTGAACCCGTGTAGGCTCGACAGGCCTGAGCAGATAGCTCTTCTTCATTCATGTGCGACCTTGTTGCGAGTGTGTTTTCTCATTCCCAAACGTACCGATCCTCTAGTGTGACCTGCGTGGAGACAACAACAAAAACCACAAATGCATGAAAAGCAACCAAGGCACCAATCACAAAACCCAGCGTTGTTCGATTATACCTTGGACTAAACATTTTAAATAACTCTTCTAATGCATTGTAGGATGCAACTTTGTATCTGTATAAAAACAATATAAAAACAGACAATAATAAAAGGATGAAAGTGATGCTAAAAACGTTAAACTTAAACAAGAATTATAAACCAACAACAAACGATATACAAGCAGCAATAGTTCATGCAGTGTACAATAATATCATAATGAAAATAATATGTAAAAACAAAAAGAGCAGGCTCTTCTAAAGAGTAGTCACTAAGCCTTACCGTTCGCCATTCTAATGGTCAGTTCACCGCACTCCCCAACCCCGCGTCCCCTTTCCTCACTAATCGATTTTCCTTTCTCGTCTGCTGCAGACCCTTCCTCGACGTACCTCCGGTTTTCTCCAGCTCCCGGTGCACGTCAGGACTCCAACCTCTTTCTCTCAGCCCAAAACCCCTTCGTCCACGTAGACGCCAGCCACACCAGTTCCCGCGGCCTCTACATCCTCAACACTGGACACCCCCGCCACCCCCTGTCTCTAATCTTCTCCTGTCTATCAAACTACCGCGTGGGCCTTCTCAAGCGCATAGAGTTCTGCTGTGGGCGCAATGGCGCGCCGCCCTCCTGTCATGATCTGTTGGCCTTACCTCGTCATGGTGGCCTCCGTTTCTGCCCCGATCTTCCCGTCCCACTCCCCTACTCCTACGCACTCACCACCGGTGCAGTACTCAACCTCACGCTAGATCCGGTCTTCCAACGCAAGTCCG